ATCTTTAGAATAATGATTCCTTCATTTGCAGTGGCTCCAGTTCAGAAAAATAATTAAATGGATGCGAAATCCATTTAGGAAAAGTACAGCTTTTAAGTGTGTGCTGCAAGTCCTGCAATCCTGTTGATGTCTAGCAACGATGTTTGGGCTGATGCTCCTGTGCCGGCTGAGCACCAGTGCCCTCCTGGGATGGAGCAGTGAAAAGAAAGCAGCGGCCCTGAAGGGCTGCAAAAGCAAACGTTGAATGTGAAATGCTGCATTTCAGGAAGCTTAATGTGGCTTTCCTCATTTGCATCTTGAGACACTTTGCTTCTAGAAAATTCTTGTACCTTCTGGTGGCCTTCTGCAAATCCATTTAAAGAAAGAGAAAGAGCAGCGCTGTGCTTTGTCCCACGAGAGATTTCGCACGCAGCACTGTAGTGGAAAACACGTGCTCTTCCAGCGTCGGGGAAATCTCAGAGCACTGTTTGCTTGGCTTATGAAAGAGGTTGGGAGTTGACCTGCCCTGAGTGCTGGAGCTTGGGGAGGGGGCTCAGGCTGGAAGGGCTGCAAGGTGGGTGATGGCAGCTCCCTGTGCCTCGTTATTTGAAAAGTGGAAAGGTAAAGCATTTGCATATGTTCAAGGCCAGACAGAGGCTTGAATAAAGCAAAGGCATTGCTGCCAGATGTGCTGCGGAAGGATGACCCCCGAAGGTCAGTCCTGAAGGCAGGGGTGAAGCCACCCACATGCCAGCGCTGGGGGAAATTGTGCTCCCTACTCACCAGCTGTAGATGAAATTCTTGTTTCTACATGTGATTTACTGGAAAGTCATTGCACCTGTTAGCTGATATCTCACGGGGAACAAAAAGCAAAACTAAGGGTAATATTAGTGCTGGTGAGAGATGGGCTTGAAGGAGTACTCAGTGTCAGAGGCATCAGCTGTGGCTCAGGCAACTCTTGTGTTTTCCTCTTCCGAGTCCTCCAGTGCCACATTTGAGAGACTTTTCAGCAATCTTTAAATTCCCCAAAGAAAAATACTTAGGGGGACTTTCCAACAATGAATGACGCCTTACCGTTTTGTAATGCGTTTATGATTAAATGCTTTGCAAAAACTCAGCGCTTTTCCTAGGAGAAGAGCAGAGGGGTGTCAAGTGTCCAGGAAGTTGTGCAGCACACTGCTGCACCAAGACATCCTGCTGCTAAGGTAGAAAAACCTTCCTAAGGATCAGTTATGTCCTGGGTAGGAAGGTGACAGGAAAGGTTTGTTGGATTCATGATACACGGAAAAATTCTTTATAGGATTGTTGTGAGTTGTCCCAGGCACGTCTCTACCCTTGACTTCTATGTAGCTTTTCAGAGAGTTTGGCTGCCTCTTAAGCTTTTTACTTGCCACCTCTCTCTTCTTTCTCCATTCAGTCTATCTTTCCAATGGTTCTTCATCTGACTTCTGAATTCACATCTT